CTCTCACTCTCCCAGGGTTTGGGTCTGGGGTCTGTCCGTGCTCCAGGATCACTGCCTGGGGACAGGTTGGACATCGGTCAGCAGGTGGTGAGCAGTTGCACCATCCATCACTCATTCCCTATTCCATTATTACTTGTTATTATTTTATTTCAATTATTAAATTGTTTTTATCTCAACCCACAAGTTTTTCTTCCTTTTACCCTCTCAATTCTCTCCCTCACTCCCCGGGTGAGGGGGAGGAGAGCGAGCGAGCGGCTGTGTTTGGCTGCAGCCCAAGGAGTGAAACCACCACACACACATCTGTGCTGCAAACGGCTCTTTATTGCCTTCCTGGTGGCCCCGGCGAGGCCACGTGTCCCTTGGTGGCATCAGTAGGTGCTGAAAACAGCTTGGATGTGCTCCCCATCCCATGGCTTGTAGGTGCCAACTCCTGCAGTGGAGGGATGGGCATGAGGTAGGGTCACCACAGCCCCCCACGCCCCCCAACCACAGCTGCCCACCTTCCTGGAGAGCATCACCACCGCTGAGGAACTGCCAGTAGGTCCTGTCATCGGCGTTGGCAGTGAGCCCATGGATGGAGACCACCATGAGACCCCAAGATGTCTGCTCCATCTGGAAGCTGCCAGGGAGGCAAATGGGCTGGGGGCTCAGGATGGAGATGCCCCCAACCCCTCTCTACCCTTCAGTTCTCACCTAAATTCATGAGGTTCCTTCTCCTCTGCTGCCTGCAGCACCTTGAGCAGCGTGGAGCCCTGTGGGACCTCCACCGTGATGCTGTAGCTGAAGTGTTTCCCCTGCAGCTTGTTGATGATGGAGTAACGCACCGTGATGGGGGCTGCAGGGGGGGGAAAGGGACAGGGTGGGCACCTGGCCCAGCACCATGGAGCACAGGGTGGGGAAGGTCTGGGAGCGTGGTCCTCACTGGGTTGGTGAACCTTGGTTGTACCCAGCTTTGGGGACAACGGGAAGCTCGGGGACATGCTGGTGCTGCTGCAGTCCAGGTCAGCTGCTTCCAGGTAAGACCTGCCCACCAAGGCAGGTAGGACCTGGGCGATGGCCATGGGTAGCTGGTAGTCATGTCTGGCCACCACGGAGAAGGCTTGGGCACAATCCCACTTCCGTGGGGCGTAAAACTTCTCGGTGGCCACCAGCGCCTGGGGAGGAAGTGGGAGATGGTGTGAGCAGCCCTGGGACGGGGACTGGGTGGCCATGGTGTCACAGCACCCATACCTGCAGGGCCAGCCCCGTGCTGTAGATGTTCCCAATCACACCATCTCCTTTCTCCTGCTCGTCCAGGAGGTCGTTGGTCACCGTTGACATTGCCTCCCTCAGCAGATCCTGCAGGTCACCGAGCTCCGTCCGGCCATACGTGCACCTCAGGGCCAGCACGGCCACGGCACGCGTGTCTGGGACACCCCAGCCTCACTGCCAAGCCCACCAGTGGGGCTTTGTGAGTGGAGGGGAAGGACATGGTGGGGACAGAGGGGTCCCTTACCCACAGAGAGGTGGCTCTCAGGGTTTAACACCTGCTTGGCCAGGACCACGGATGCCTCTTGGTAGCCACCCATCCTCACCAGGCACAGGCTCAAGGTGTCCAGGCTGACACTGAACAGTGTGGTCTTGGGGACACCGTCCAGCTCTGCAAAAGAAAGTGCAACGAGATGATTGGGGGGTCAGGGGGGTGTGGGGAGGGAGGTCCCCCCCTCCCTGAGCACCCCAAGTTCTCCTTCCCATCCCACCATACCCAGGCTGGCCATCTCCTCGTCCATTTTCTGCTGCAGGATGCTGAGCAGGTTGATGGTGTGTCCCAGGGCTTGGACGTGCTGGGGGTTCTGGCAGGAGGACAGGAGGGCGAGAACATCCAGAGCCACCTCTCCTGAGGTCACACCTGTGGGGACAAGAGAGAAGCTGGGACAAGTAGGGGGTCAGGACCTGGCACCTTGTCTGGGGTGGAGAGAGCCAGCGGTGCCCAGTCTGCCCTCCCCGTCCCTCCCCACCTTGCTGGGCTCTCCTCACAGCCTCCTCCTGTATCTTCTGGAGCAACCACTTGTGATTGTAACTGTTGGTGGCCCCAACCAAGTTCATGGCCAGCAAGACACTGGGGTTTGGTGGCTCGTCCCTCTTGATGGACTCCTCCAGGCGCTGCAGCATCTTGGAGACCAGATGCTGGGGGGCAACTGGAAGGAGAAGAACCGGGAGGTCACCAGAGACCCCACATCCCCACCACTGGTCTCTCTCTGGTGTCTCTATGGGAGGGTTGGCTCTCACCACAGCTGTTGGTGGCTGTGCCACTTGCCAAGGCCAGCAGGACCCCGATGCTGAAAGCCACACTGAGCATCTTCATGTCCTTGGGGCAAGCAGGTCCCCTCAGAGCAAGCAGGTCCCCTCAGGCTGGCAGGATCCCGTGGGAACGTGTCCCTCCAGGCATCCTCTCTGCTTTTAGCTGCTCCTTCTCAGGTCACCTCCCCTCCCACAGCCACCCCGGCACTGCCAAGCACCACCAGCTTATCTGTGTGCCCAAGGTGTGCCCAGCAGAGTCACAGGGACACGGCTGCTCCAGGAACAGTGATTTTCCACGTGAGGACAGGGAAATGGTGAGGGATCAGTTGAATGTTCATGAATTCATGAGGTTGGATGGAAGCTGGTGGGTGTCACAGCAGAAACCCCCCTCCTCAATCATCTCCTCAAGGTTCTGGAAGGTCACCACCCATATCTTGGTTTACAAGAAGGGTTTGTAGTTCCCAGGAAATTACAGATCTGTGAGTTTAACCTCAGTGAACTTGGAAAAATGGTGGGGAAGGTCCTCTTGGGTGCTACTGAAAAGCATTTGAAGGACAATACCATCACCAGACATGGTCAGCATGGAGGGAAAGTCCCATCTAACCCATCTGATATCCCACCAGGACAAGGTCAACCACCTGGAAGAGGCTGGATGATGTTCTTCTGGATTTTATTGAGGTTTTTGAGCCTGTTCCTCACACCATCCTTCTGGACAAGGTGTCCCACTGTCAGATGAGAAGGAACAGGGTGAAGAACTGGATGGATGGAGCTCCAGGGGGTGTTGGGAATGAGGCTACATCCAGCTGGAGACCAGTCACTGTGGTTGATACCAAACTGGAAGGTGCTGGTGATTCTCTCGAGGGATGAGATGCTTTGCAAAGGGATCTGGCTGGATGGGAGCTCTGTGAGATCATTGATGGTGGAGAGAACCAGGACCTGCCTGTCCCAGTGCCCCCACCATCACCCAGAGGCAGCCAGGATGGGGAGGGCAGGATGGGGGTACCCCCTTGACCCAGCACAGCCTGAGGGTCGGGGGTCAGTGCTCTTCTGTGCCTCAGTTTCCCCCAAGGCTCTACAATAGGAGGGTGCCCCAAGGACACACCCATCACCCTGCATGTGGGACCAGCCTGTTTTGGGGTGTATGGCTGGAGATTGACCCCCACCTTCTCCATCACCCCCCAAAGAAGGGACAGGGACTGGGACAGGGACTGGGACTGGGACAAGGACCAGGGCTGGGACCAGGATCAGCACAAGGGGCAGGGACAACAGGAGGAGGAGAGCTCTGTGGTGATGAGCCCCAGGTGGGTGCAGGGACCACCCAACCTCCCATTGGGAGACCTGCAGCCGCCCACCTTGGTCCCAGCTGTAAAAGCCACCAGTGGGTGCTGCCCCTCCTCTTCCTCCTCCTCCTCCATCATGATGAAGGCTCTCAGGAGAAGGTGGTTTGTGCTCTTTCTCATGGCTGCAGCCTGGGCACAGGATGTCCTGGGTAAGGGGTTGTTTTGGGGGGAGTTCTGCTGGGTTTGGCTGAGCTGCTGGGTGCCTCTGCCCTGGTGAGGAAGGTGAGGAAGACCATGGTGTCCTCTCCACCCCAGGCAGGGCAGGTCTGTAGGTCAAACTGCCCCAAGCACCAGGTTTGGGGCTGGGGAGATGGATCCAGAGCTGTGGTGGATCTTGTGTCTCCTCCATCTCCCTGTGGGGACGATTCAGGAGCATCACGGCCACATCAGTGCCCTGGGGTGACAGCACAGAGTGGCTCAGCCCAGTAGGGACACCTCCCACCCTGTCCTCCCCCACGCTGGAAATGCTGAACTGGGGAGTGTCCTGGTTTTGACTGGGATTGAGCTGGTTTTTTTCTCAGTAGCTAGAGCAGCGCTGGGTTTGGGTTTCAGTCTGGGATTTCCAGCACCTGAAGGGGCTCCAGGAAGGTGGG